AGAGTGAAAACGTAAACATGAGAGAGAGAGAGAGGGTGGCTAGGGTTTTTTTTTTTTTTAATGAAAAGCATTCTTTGTGTTTTAATTAAGTTGCACTTATATAGTGCAACTAATTAAAACCCTATTCCAATAAGGAATACCCATGGGCACCAACCCAAGCTTAGCCTTGCAACCAAACACCATGTAATTGGTATTTTAAATTAATTAATTATTATTATTATTAAAATAATTAATATATATAATAATATATTAACATTTAATTAATAATAATAATTCATTTAAATATATGCATACATATATTTAAAAATAATCTTGCTAATTTAATTTTAATATCAAATTAAATACAGGCAACAACCTCAGCAAGTTTAATTGCACTACAAGATTAACAAAATACCCTCTTGTCCTGAAAGACGAAAATACCCTTGTCACAAATTGATTCTTAAATTATCTTCTAAAGGTGTGACCTGTAGGCTTCTCATCATATCGGCAGTGTGTAGCATCGCTATTAACACCAATTAATCATCTCACTACACACAAACCAAGATTGGCCCCTAACAAGACATCATGGCCACCCGATAGCTTCGGATTCAGCGAAATCATAGCCTGTCAACGGTATGGTTACCGTGCAATCAAATCCTTTCATCAACTGTTATCTCATTGAGACTATGGTACATAAATAGTGTCAACCTCAGATATCCTTGACATGTTTGTATTTAGTTACTAGACCAATGACAAGAATATTAAATTGAATTGAGTAACGACTCAATCCCACTGTGGCCACAAATTTAGTGTCATTGTCATTTACTGAATTACCCAGTGAGATAACTTCTCCCATACCTAGGAGTGATAAATCCTTTGTCGATCCACTATAGTCTGGATACACTTCTCAATGTAGTCAATCAATACCGTATTGATAGCTCTGAATAGAACTACGTTGGGCTAGTGTCAAACTACACCAATTAGTGCACAAGGCGCTTCGGTGATCTCAAGTCTAAGGATCATATGCACCACCATCTGTTAGAGAATTTATTCCATAGACACTGGGGTTACCATCCATATAGAATCCTCTAGTGGGTATGTCTAGTGAACTTGCCTCTAGCAAGCACTCATGCGTTGCACCAGGTTGTCGGCAAACAACCTTAACAAGTGAGATCAGTCACTACCTTTTGATAGGGTCATTCAACACTATGATAGCCTTACCGTATTATCTGTGTCCTTGATTAGAATAATACTAGGGCTACAGAAGTTTCTAGAATGGCCAATATATGATCATAGGGTTCTCACTATCAAGATTTGAAACACTTAATACCCTCGTCACTATTCTACCATCCTAAGGAAATATATAATTACATACACAGTATAGAAGAATGTGCCCTTATTGATAAATAAACATTTATTACAAAGTCAATTTTACAATAATTGATTGGCTCTAGGGCACATACTCTAACACCCTGCAATGTCAGGATCCCCCCGGTAGATTATGCCTACTAGGACATCATCATTAGTGTTGGCCAGGGCTTGCTAGATCTAGTTATTCTACTCGCTAGTATTTTCACAAGTTGGTGCCTCCTTAACAAATTCTTTTAGGTGGTCCCTTCGTATTAGATCTTTGATGGTATCTTATAAAACCTGACACTCATTGGTGTCATGCTTGATGTCCCAATGGTATCGACAATATTTCTGTCGATCTCTTTTGCCCAGAGCCCCCTTCATTCTCTCTGGAGAGGGCAGTCTCTTAGCCTCACGGGAGACTTCATAAATATGATCTATGTCTTGAGTGAGGGGAGAGTATTCTGCATATCGCAAGAAATATTGTCTGTCCCCACAGTTATCTGTTCTCTGTCTCTTTTCAGACCTATTCAATTCCTTATCATTATGATCTTAGCCCCTCTGCTTGTCTATTAGACGATCTTGTCGCCTATCTGGAGCTCTTCTTAGTGAGCTTCAAGCTAGGGAGGTTAGCAAGCTTTCCACTCGCTGATGTTTAGCAGTTATCTGGTAAAACTTTGCCAAGCTCACATGGTCTTCACTTTCGAGCTCTTTCCACAACTCTGTTTGCAGCCTGATACCTGTAATTAACAAAGTCCAGATTGACTCTTCAGGTGCATCCACAACCTTTGCCTGCTCATTCTGAAACCTTGTCATATACCAGGTCAGTGTTTTGTCTCTCTCCTAACGAATGTTGCTCAAGTAGCTGAACAACATTGTGAACTGTCTCTTCGCTTGAAATTGTTGCAAGTACATCGAGTAGAATTGTTGCTAAGAACTGATGGAGTTCACCTTGAGTCTTTTGTACCACCTCTTGGTATCCCTTACCAATGTGACCGCGAAGTAGCGACACTTTGCTAAGTCACAGACTTGGTGCAGCTCCATTAGGTCATTGAAAGTGTTGAGGTGGGCTCTGGGATCTCCTTTCCCATCGAACTTACTTTCTAACTTCCTAAATCCCTGGGGAAGCAAAGCCTAGCGAACTTCCTCTGCGAAGTGAGAACTCATTGTTTCTTCTGTCGCATTGTTTTGGCAGGCTCTTAGATCGTCAAGCATTTTTTGTACTCGATCTAAGTCTTCGTTGTAAGGATTGCCTTGGCTGGCCCTATTCAACCTTACCCGAGCAAGTGAGTTCGCAAATCTGTTGCTTGTGAGCCCCCTCCATTATACGCATTGATGCGCGAGGTTGAGTCATACTGACTGGGATGGTAGGTGTTATCATGCTCGTCAGTGCGTTGCTCGCGACGTTGGTTATAATCGGAACGTCTTGGGTGTGGGTTAAAATTGGCACGCTGACACTAGGGACACCACCAAGTAGGTTGAGCATCTCGTAGGCGACCATTACCTTGATTTTCCCCTATTGGCTACTTTCCTGGTCGCCTCCCGGGATTAGTTTGCCCACGAGGCCCACGCTCGTGGGTGGAATGTACTTTATGATGTCGGGGATGTCGGTCGCCCCTCAATGCCGATGAACCAGATTGGTCATCGACTGAATTCCGACTTGTCAGGGTGACATTAGTGAAGCATGGCTAGTCAATGTTCTAGGCGGTCGGTTGCTGATTTCTTAGCTCAGCCACGTTCTGTTGCACCGCTTATGCAACCATTGTTCTGATCATCTCCACATGTTAGCTGTTCTTGGGATTCGATGTCCCTACCCCTTGGTTATTCGCAGGCTACTGCTTGGGCGAGATTGGTGTTCATCACCCAACGACGTCTTGTTGCACTCCCTAGTGGGTGGTTTCCACATTGTCGTGGCTTTCGGTGGTGGTTTTCGATCTTGTAAGCACCATTGTGGGCCTGGAGTGATCGGGTCACTAGGATTGCTTGCCGGAAATTTTGAGATTTTGGCGAAGGCCCTCCTTCTAGCGCCAAAATGTTGATGCAAAAATACACCAATTAGAGTGATCCGATTGACCCTAACTGGATCAGAACTGATGTGTGCGTGATTATGGGTAACCAGTAAAGAGTAAGTAATTAAAATGCAGTAAAGAAAATGACATAGGTGTTAAAGTGGTTCAGTGAGAGGAACTCTTGAGCTTACATCACTGTTCTTATATTTGCTGTAAGAGCTTACAATGATAGTCCTAGAATAATTTGCTAACCCCTTTCTCATCATTGGAGGGGGTTTATATACAAAATTTAGACAAAGGAAAGAGCGAAAATAAAGGGATTACAATTAAGTTTGAAATGCAACTCCAATATTCTCAAGATTGGGCATTCTGATTGCGCAAAGATTGCTGTCAATCTAATCCCTTCCGAGATACCCGGGATCTGAAGTTATCTGTGAATCGGATGAACAACTGCATGGTTTGGTCGTGACCAGCTTATGCTAGGTCGAGCTATCACTCGACAAGCTTATGCTGGGTCAGATAATTGGTAGAGTCGAGTTGGTTTTTGATCGGGCTATAACCTCGCAATCCTCCGAGCTTAAAAGAAAAATCATACACAACAATATACATAATAATATTTTAAACAATATGTGGTTCCATTTGGTTAGTTATTTAGAATAGCATTCTATGCTAAATAGCATTTTTGGAAAATAGGATAGGATTCTTAAAAGTTTTTTGTATATTTCTAAATAGCATTTTTTTTTAAATATTTAGATTATTTTTAACCCCCTAGATTTGTTAATTTAACTAAACACCCCCAATAATAAAATTTTATAAATTGACAAAAACACCCCTACCCACCTACATATTGTCGCAGCTGGCCACAATGCGGGAAGGTGGTTGGAATCTACCGGAACCACAGATCTAGTTGTCGTTGACGGCCAGATAGTCCAAGATATCTGGCCGTCAACGATCGCCAAATGACGACCAAGATATGGTCATCGTCAATACCCAGATCTAGCTGTCAACGACCAAATCTTTGGTCGTGGATCTGGCCGTTTCCAATTGATCATGTGCCATTCCGACAGATTTTAATCACCTTCCAGTGATGGTGGCTGGTTGCCGGTAATATGTGGGTGGGTGAAAGTGTTTTTGTTAATTTTAAAACTTTTATTGAGAAAATAATTGTTAATGTTTTGAGTTGAATACGATTAGATTGAATTTTGAAAAATATTGAAACAAATACATTTTTTGGTTTTTAGGATAGAATAGTAGAAAAGTAGTGTGTCAATCGAACCTATTTGTTAGGTACATATATAAATCGCTATTGATAATCTCAGCTATTTTAAAAATTAATTTGTTAATTAAGACAGACAACTTGTTTATATATTTATTTATAGTTGATTGTTTTATAATAATTATTTTACGTGCCACAAGAAACCAAAACTAGTCGGTAACTAATAGCGTGAAGGAATGTGCTTTGAAATTAGGTACCTGTGGCTGCTGGTCAAATTAATATTTTTTTAATTGTTAATTAAAGAAGATGACCGATGTTAAATATTTAAAAATTTTATACGAATTGCATTTTTGCTTCTGAATATTTTAATAGACATGTTCCAACAGAACAAAATGAAAGCCACTCACATCAAGTTATCAAAAATAAATTAATTAATAAACATATCTTTGGATGCATACAATTCAATGAATTTCGTTTGTTCTTCTCGTTGTTTTCTTTCTGCAACTTCATTTTTTATCTGATAGCTAGAACTTCAACTTATTCTATTCAACCTTACGAATTGTCTCTATTCTCTCAAGAATTCCCTGCACTGCTAAATCAAATGCATCTTCAACTCTCTCTAATTTAGACTTTGAATCTGCATATATTATACTTGGAATTAAATTTATAACTTCCTCTCTCATAGCTATTTCTTCTTCCTTTGAAACTTGAAGCAATCTCTCTTCAATCCTGAATTTCTTATCCCTTAATAGTTTACCTGGTATAAATACAGAATACTTTGAATAATTCTTCGGTAAATGCCATGTGTATTGCGTATAAGCCGAACCCGGATCCAAAAAAACCGGAATACACCCGGCTAACATAGAATCGAATATCGATCTTCTCGTCAGTGAATCTCCAGGAGGCTGTATGCAGAATGCTGAGCTTTCAAACACCTTCATAACATTAACCGGGTCGTCGCAATTGTTGGCGCCATCACTACAATCCAGAAACTTACACGACTTACTTGAAGTTTTGCATTGGTCGATAACATTAGCCCGGATAGAACCTTTATGTCTGGATCGTGGGGCGCCGGCAAAGGAGAACAAATACTCTCGCTTCTGCCATCTCATTCTATCCTGCCATTGAGACACCTCACTGTCTTTTGAAGGATGAAAATATGTTGGGTATGGTATTGCGAAGTCGTTGTTCCAAGAGCTTGATTCGATTGAAATCATTGAAATGTTCTCAGATTCAGGCAAAAATCTGAACTTGCTACCCCAATCAGAGTTACTGTCCGATTGTCTCCTGAAATCGCGAGAAATCCTTCCGGCAACTAAGAAATGGTCTCTACCCCACATTTTTTTCCATTCAGGTTTTTCTGCCAGCCATTTGACGAGAGCAAGACCAGATGAATCTCTCACTGATGCTTTGAACCCCCAAAGATATCGCCTAAGATCTAGACCAGCATAGAATGGTACAAAAATCGCTGATGCAATTGATGAATCATTCGTTAAGCATTCATACTTCTTCATCCTATTATGGAATATTACTTCTAACAAGAATTGGTTAGTGGAAAACCAGCTTGTGTTTGATAAAACCCCATAAGATTTTTCAATTTGAGGACCGAAACCGAAGTTCTCTGTGGATTGACACATATCAAACTTATCAGTTTTTCTGGTAAGCAGATGACAGTTCTTGAGAACTTCGTCGTTGAATTGAGCGGGGAGATCATGAAGGTAAATATATCGACCTAGACACAAATCTACATCGGATTTTGGATTGAGATTTTGTTCGAAATCAGCTTGTTTAGTAATTACATCAATTCTGCTTTCTACATAAGCATTATCAGTTCTGCTTTCTACATGACCATTCACATGGTTGGTGCTGATTGTAGATGAATAATCAATACTAAGGAACAAGAGGAATAAAATATTGGCGGATAGAAATACGAACCAGAGTAGAATGCGATAGTTTCCAGCGAATGGTTTCTCCATTTGCCGGTGATGCAGCACAGAATGAGAGGAGCTTCAGAAACTTTTTGTATTGGAAAAGAAGACAAAGGATACAAAAATGGGGGAGAGACAGACAGAGTTGCCAATGCCAACTCGAAAAATGTATTAACAATCGTAAATAGTCATGACTGGAGGCTCGGACGGCTGACGCAGTCACCAAACGAGTTAATTCACATTTTCAAACCTGAGGTTTGGAGAACGTATGGTTTGGTTTATTAAAATTTGAAAACATCATTATAGTCCCTATCAAACTATTATAACTAAAGAATTAGACTGTGCTAATGTTTTGAATTGAAGTGTCTATCATTACCCCAATTGTCTTATCACGAAGAATAATTATAAAATAAAAAATTTGAACCGTAGAGATTGATATAATAAAATTACAATAAAATAATTTGAATGGAAATTTATAAACAATTAAAAGAAGTTTCAAGACTAAAATTATAGATTTAAAATAAAAATCTCTAAATTAAAAAACAAATCTAAAAAATATTCTTATATCAAATTTATTTTATAATTCTGTTGTCCTTTATTGTTTTCTTTTTGTTAATTATATTTTATTTTATAAGTTTATAAATTAAAAAGTTTTTTAATTTTTTTTATTTTATAATTCATAAAAAGTGTAAAATGACAACTATACCTTCATATTGTTTAATTTTTTTTCTAATTGCAATAGTAGGGTTGTCAATTTCCAGGCAATAATACTATGCTTACTCATGAACTTACTAATCATCTTACTAACCTTTGTAAATATAAAGCATAGTACGAGTACCATAAGCATAGTACGAGTACCATATATAATTTTAACAAATGTGAGTAAAGTGGTTAGTAAGTTCATGAGTAAGCATAGCATTACTCATTTCCAGGTCTGGGGATGACTAGTGGTTTCTCCGTCCCTGCCTCCAAAGACCAAGTGTAATCCCTAAACCTATCCTAATCCCCGAAATTTTAGGGCAAGGGATAGGGGCGGGTAAACCTGTATGAACGAGGCAAAATTCGTTCCTGTGCTCATACTTTATAAATTCCAACATATTTTTCGTCATTTTAGAAAGAAATGAAAACAAATAAGTTAATAATAATTATAATATTATTAACAAGTGTATTGGATTATTATTGAGAAACCTTTGAACTAACTGTCGGTCATGGTAACGTGAAGGAAAAAAAACAACGATTTTAAACTTTGTTATTAGAAACCAACATTATTTAAATTTTAAAAAAACCACCCTGTATATTAAATAATTAATCAATATATTTATAACTATAGTAAAACCTTTCTATAATGATACTCTATATATAAATAAACTCTATAAAGATATAAAAAATTCTAGCCCCAATTTGGCATAGTTATAAATAAGAATAAACTTCATATTGTAATAAGTTATAATTTTTCTAATTCCTATCTTAAGGAAAATTGCCTCCACATAATAATAATTATCTATATATTACCAAAAAAAATATGTTATGTTACATTAAAGGTTTAAGATAAAAAAAATATTTATCTAAGGTTGTTTGAGACAATGATTTATACTTTAGAGTTGTTATAACATCTTTTACCTTGTGAGTAATAACTAGCATGGACACCTTTTTATTGAAGTCAAACTATCAGGTAATGGAATTGAAATAATGCTTCAATGAGGAACCAAAAAAAATTATAATAATTTATTATAATCAATCAAAAAATCAAATGATATATTATACATACATAACATATATATTATGTATTAACATATGATTATAGATAATAACATATTATTTATAATGTATAACATATATATGTTATATACATTATACATATATATCATTTATAATGTATAATGTCTAATATATAGCTTTTGTTTCATAACACTAATATATTATGTGCGTGTGTGTGTGTCTATATATATATTATGTATTACAAATATTTATAATGATTTATTATCTTTAAGGTAGATTTATTTATTACCTATTTGTATAAAATTGTTCTTGTATAATTTAGGGCTTCATTGATTGATTTTCAACTATTAAAAAAAATTAATATAGGATTAAATGGTTAAAATCAGGTCGGGCTGGGGCAAGACCAATCTCGTCCCTGAGCCGTCTTCGAATTCAGGGACCGATTTTCGGCCCAGGCCCGGCCCAAACCCCAAATAATTTGGGAAAACTCCGCCCCATTCAGGGCAGGTCAGGATGGGTCCCTACGGGGCGAGTATTATGCCCATCCCTAACTGTATTTATAGTTTCATCAATTAAACTTATCTTTACTGGTTTTAAGACACGGTCTTCTATCAGTTTCAAGAGTAGGCAATTGAAATTCTAATACTACTAAAATATGAATTAAAGTCCTAATATTGTACTACTAAAACATAAATTATAAAATAAGAAATCAAAACAATATTTTTTATAACTGCACCTCCATTAAGTTATAACCTCCTTATGCTTATAGTAATAAAATTAGTTGGTCCCACTATTATAATTATAGAGAGGTTTTACTGTATTTTCATCCAATTTTTATGTACAAAAGAAGAAAAACTTATTTTACTTAGGGGTGAGCACGGGTAGCGGGTAGAACCGGAACCGGGGGTAAGAACCGGAACCGGAACCGGGGGTAAGAACCGGAACCGGAACCGGAACCTACCCAGAACCTGCACTGTGCGGGTAGGTTCCGGTTCCAATTTTTTGGAACCGCTACTGTGCGGTTCCGGTTCCGGTTCTTACCCCGGAGGAAGAGGAACCGGAACCGGAACCGGAACCTGTAAAAAGGGTACCCTGTTTGGAACCTGTAGGGGGTACCCTGTTTTGGAACCTGTTTGGAACCTGTTTTGGAACCTGTTTTGGAACCTGTTTTGAACCTGTTTTGGAACCTGTTTTGGAACCTGTTTGGAACCTGTTTTGGAACCTGTTTGGAACCTGTTTTGGAACCTATATTGGAACCTGTTTTTGGAACCTGTTTAGAACCTATTTTGGAACCTGGACTATAATGAAATATTTGTGAAATGTAAATAATGGGGGAGTTTCTATTATTTTACATATAAAAAAATTTAAAATAGAAAAAGTTAAATTTTTAGAATAACCTAATTAAATAAATATACGAATACAATTATACTTATTACATATAAATTACACCAAATTAAAAGTTTAATAATATAATACATAATATTAAAGTTTTGATCAATTAAGTGAATAATGGAATAGATCCAATAAAAGTGTTTTACATTTTTAATGTTATTAAAAGAATTATTTTTGAATAAAATAGTATATTTGATTGAGTAATAAATATTAGTTATTTACTTCAATTATAAGTTCTAAGTATATCTATAATAAATTAGTAATTAATTAATTATATATGATAAATATATAAACATTAATAAATTTAATTACTAGTTAAATATCATACTTAATCAATTATACACATACATATAGTAAATGATTACTTAATTAATTTAATTTTATAACATTACTAATTGTTTATAGTATAATTAATTAGCTTACATTAATTGATTACTACTTAATTAATTGACTTTATATAAACATTAGTACAAACTTAATAATGATTAAAAATTAATTAATTATAATATTACATTAAAATTTATAGTATGATTATTTAATAGTTAATTCACTAAACATTACATATAGTATGATATATAATTAATTATAACATTACATAATTAAATAATTACTTAATTGATTATGAGTTATGATATTATGTTTTAAACATTAGAATTACTAATTTGCTACATAAACATTAGCAACATACTTAATTAAATGATAAGAAATTTAATTAATATAACATTACCTTATAAAAATTTCATTATAAACATAATAAACATTACATTATAGTTAAATAATTACTCAATTAAATATAATATTATTATAGTACATTATTATTATGATCACTTACTAATTATAGCATTACATAGTTAAATGATTAATAATTACATAATTAGTTATGAATTTATAACATTGCATTATAAACATTAGTAATACTAATTTACTATATTTTACATTACTTAATTAAACGATTAAAAATTTAATTAATATAAAACATCCTTATATATTATAATATAATTAACTTAATCAATTATAACATTCTATTTAAACATTAGTATATTAATCAAATGATTTGAAATTTAATTAATTATAATATTAAATTATAGATTTATAGTATGATTATTTAATTCATTATAACATTACATTATACTATTATAGTATGATCATAAATTAATATAACATTACAATAATTAATAATTACTTAATTAATTATGAGTTATGATATTATATTTTAAACATTAGTATTACTAATTTACTATATAACATTAGCACAATAATTAATGAATGATAAGAAATTTAATTAATTATAACATTATCTATTAAACATTTCATTTAAACATTAATTAAGCATTACATTATAGTTAATAATACTCAATTAAATTATAATATTATATATACATTATATTATGATTACTTACTTAATTATAGCATTATATAGTAAATGATTACATAATTACTTAATTAGTTATGAATTATAACATTACATTATAAACATTAGTAATTTATATACTATACATTACTTAATAAACGATAAAAATTTAATTAATTATAACATTACTTTATATATTGTAATATGATTACTTAATCAATTATACATTTCATTATAAACATTAGTATATAATTAAATGATTTGAAATTAATAATTATAATATTAAATTAGATTTGTAGTATGATACTTAATTCATTAAACATTACATTATACTATTTATAGTAGATCATATAATTAATATAAAGATTTGAAATTTAATTAATTATAATATTAAATTTAGATTTGTAGTATGATTACTTAATTCATTATAACATACATATACTATTTATAGTATGACATATAATTAATATAACTTACATAATTAAATAATACTTAATTGATTATGAGTTATAATATATATTTTAAACATTAGTAATTACTAATTTACTACATAAACATTAGCACAATACTTAATTAAATGATAAGAAATTTAATTAATTATAACATTACCTTATAAACATTAATAGCATTATATATAGTTAAATAATTACTCAATTAATTAAATTTATAATTTCATTATA